GTACGAAAGCTCAGAAAGGATTCATCGGGGTCGCAGGGTGGTGCGCCGAGGACCTATTCGCATTAATCTACAACCACAACTCCAAGGCGATTCCCCACGGCATCCCGTGGAACCGAATTACGAATCCCTTCCACTTGCCTCTTCAAACGAAATTAAAGTTACTCGAAAATTAATCTATCAAGAGATTCTTCGACACCCATTTTTCAAATTGGGAATGCCTTAAATATGATAACAACATTTCAAAGTGCTTTTTTACAGAGGGCCCGCCATCAATATTCCCATTCAACTAAATTTCAGGTATAAGCGTATAACCAACACTTTATAAGCTAAAGATTACTCGCATGAATCCAAGAGGACGGAGGCGTTACAGAGAGCTATGAGTTGCAGAAGCTAAATTTCTCATTGGCAGCAGTCTATTTTAGGCTAATTTCCAAAATTCTTCTCCTCTTCAATGATAAAGCAGTGACAACGAAAATTCAAATTCTGAATCAACATTATATAGAATAATAAGATAATAGGAAAACGGCGGGGGTAGGTGGCAGTTACCTTGTCAGTAGCTAAAAGCGAATTCTGCATATCTTTCTGACTGGGACTCGTTCCAAGACCTATTGATATTAGCTTAAAGCCGTCCGGTTGTAGAGGAGACAGATCTTCGTTGTCCGTATAAAAACCGATTGGTTTGAACATACTTCTAGCATTTCCGACAATCTTAACGTAATCTACATTAGGCCCCTGGCTGAAAACGCCCAGGACAGCATGCCGTTCGCCAGCCTGAGTTACAGGAGTATTTATGAAATTAAGTGGTAGGTCAGACGCATTTCCAGCAGCGTCCAGTTCAGGTCTGAATAGAGAAGACTTGGAGCTCGAGCCGAAGTCACTGCCATATCTGCTCTCCTCTAGGTCTGGTCCGTTTAAGACAAGAGAGCCGAGCTCAGTGCTAAGCTGTTCGACAAACTCAGCGGGATCCAACTGATTACAGCCACTTGAGTCGTCAAGCTGCCAGACTGCCTGTTCATTGACCAAGTCCGGTTTTGTACAGGCATCCGTTGGTTCATGGCCTATAAAAAGAATGGAGTGCGTTAAATTAGGCTAAGCCATTTCGGCAGTTCCTAGGTTTAGAGTGATTCAGGCGTATTTCGGATTAAGAAAGAAGATGGTTTTCTATAGTTATTAGACATTAAACTTATAATGAAAATGCTTTTGACAGTAAGCATGGAGGGAATTTCATTTCACCCGTTTCGGGTGAAAACGGGCTGAGCTTTCGTCCATCATATGATGGACATCCTCATAGCTGGGTGCCATTCTGGCAAGAGTCTCACGTAACACTAGGCCAAGAACACTGTCTGGCTTTATCTTACCTCTTATATAAACTTAATTAAGTCAAAAGAAAATTAAAAACCTAGACAGATCGATATAGAGTTGTTTGGTTAATTATCTTTCATATTGGTCCTTTTACTTTTTGATCAAGTGTGTGCGTGTGTGTATGTGTGTGTTAGCGTCTATACGCAATACCTGTCCTAAATCAGAGTTGACAAAAGGCTAATGTCATACTCTGATCATCATCTGGTGAGATCGACCAGCGAATCTCTTCTTCATGCACTTTCATACCAAATGAAAGTCCCCCCAACAATGTTATCTCAGGAGATTAATCGAAACTCAGTTTCTCTTCGTATCTACAGTGATCATGTACTCGGGCAAGCTAGTAAAATCGTCCTTCATTACTTAACTATGGTAAACTGACTATAATTTGCTATCAAAAAGCATTGTCATAGGAACAACTTTTGGTCCCAACATAGGTGGAACACTTTCTATATTTTCCTTCGTCATTTTCCCGCTTAAACACATAAAGGTACAATACTCGCACATCCAGCAGAGT